ACGTATTTTAGGACGGCATTTCTGTCCAGACGTCTTATAATGCTATTTCTCTCGTTCTTACGTTTGCGATAGAGGATGGAAGATCGCCGCGACTCCCACCACTATTCCCTCTCCAAGCGTCCGACGATCGTATACCGCTAGCTCCCTCCGCCACTCCGTGCTGCTCATGGCTCACCTACACGCAGCAGTGATGAGTGACGCGTTATCGTGTGCGAGTCACACGGATATTCGGACGGCATTAACGCCGGTGCGTATACATGTTGTATACGCAAATTTTCGCATTTGCTGTTTTATGTCGCGAAAAACAAAATGATACGTTTATTATAAGTATCCAATAATCGTCAAAAAATTTCCGTTTTTCTCCTATAAGCAACCCTATATTGCCAATGTATTAATTGTCCTGCAATATCACTATACATTTTCAAATAATTAAAATATTTTTTCAATAATTACGCTACTTTTTTATTGGGTACTGTGATCCCTTATAGAAATTCAATACTGATAAGTGATTATTTAGCCAGTGATAATTACTGTCGTTCAATAATTTTATTACTCGTACGAGTAATAAAATTACTATTTATTACTGGCCAATTTATTACTAGTTAGTGATACTTTTCTATAAGGGATGTTAGATATTTGAATATAGTTTATCAAAGAATCGACAAAGCTATTAATTAAAAAGTACATAACGCGTTTGCATGAATAAAATTGCAGTCATAGTCTTTGTATCGAATGTATTCGTTATGGTAAAAAATATATTCTCGAGAGTCGCGTCAGATACCGACCTTGACCGACCAATATTTTGTTAAAATATTAAAATAACCCTTATAGAAATATCATACTAAGAAATATCATTGATAATTACTTATTTTCAGTATTAAAAATACTGGATAATAAGTAATTATCAATGATTCTTAATATAATATTTCTATAAGGGAAGTCACATCTGATATAATTTATATACAATATATATCTGTTGTTTTATTTATTATTAAATCGAGTCAATTAAAAGCATGACATGTGTAACATTTCACTCTTCACCTTTTAGCCAATAATTAAAATTATATCTAACAAACTTTTCTTAGTGATTATGTTGATAATATTTAAGTTCAGCAGTATATCGTTTATAACGATTTAAAACTACTTTTCTAGATTCAAGAAAATTCAATTTTATAACAAACTTGATTTAAACGATAGATTTTACCTGGTGCGCCGTCTTTATCGAACCCGCTTAATCCATAAGGTAAATAATCTTTAAATATTTGGGGAGGATCCCATTCGGATAAATTATCGGCATCCCATTTTTTCCGCCATTCCAGAGACTGCAAGACAAATAAGATATCGATTATCTCATTATTACAGAAGAAGTTCACGCATAACAATACAATCAAGTTTTTTCAAATTCCAGTGAAATTTGAGATATATTTCTTCGGGAAATTTTTAGCAATACAATGTGAAAATAGTTTTCGAATGTATATTTTAAATACCAAAAATGATAATAAAAATTAAAAAATTGCTATTATCGTTATTTACTTCCGAAATTTTGACAAAATTAATGTGATATAATGAGAGGTCTATTGTGTATGTTTGTTTACAGAACCGTTTTAACACATTTTTTTCGACGTATTTTCGACGCATCCAACGTCCAGTAAGGGAACCTGTATGTTTTATGAGAATTATTCAAAAACCATTCAACGTTGTTACGTACATTCCAAAATACGTCGAATTAAATGTGCTCAAACAATTGTGCATATGAATATGTAGCTTACACTTACAGTTGGCAACAATTTTTGTGTACTTTGATATTTGTGGTTTACAATATATGTTTTCGCTTGCAATTCACAATGGCTGCGTTCGGGGAGGCGCTATGAGTGTGCTCTGTCCTTATTTGTTCCTGAGAGTTGAACAAGGACAGAGGACGCTCATAGCGTTAAATAGCATCTCCTTGAACGCAGCCAATATGTATTAGTAAGAATTTTACTTCAATCTTTTCAATATTTATAATTTTTTGTATACTGTCAATTTAATAAAATAAAAATTTAATAGAAATATTCATTTATTATTTATACACTAAAAAAAAATCTGGTAATACTTACTAAATTTATTTAGTTGTGCATTTCACGGTAAATAGTAACTATATATTGTAAATGTTATCAAACATATAGTAATAATTACAAACTAGTTAATAACATAAATTTTTTGTATAATCGAATCAATTAAATGATTTAGTAAATAGTATTAAATACATTAGTAATAGTTACCAAATAAGGTAATAATTACCATAATATAATATAATATTTGATAATTATGATTTAATTTATCCAACTTGAACGGTATCTCTGAATGTTATTTCAGGAGAGCAAAGTGTCGTGAGCATAAAGTTAGTTTAATAGTTAAAGCAACCGCCCGGCAACTGAAAGATCCCAGGTGGTTCGATTCCCGGTCCAGCAAACCGCGCTTTCAACATTTTTCTCTTGCCGGAACAAAAATAAGACGCAGATCCCGACCGCCGTCACCGTAGTTACGTCCTTATCGTCACCCTAGTACATTCTATCGTCATAGTTGAAATCAAGCATTACGATATTTGCAAAATTTAAACTTTAAATATGAATTTTGGTAATTATTACCATGCTTTGCGTAATTATAACCAAGCGGTTAAGGTAATAGTAATCATATAATAGTAGTAAATATTTACTAAACAATATGGTTTTATTTACCATTATTTAATGATAGTTGGTAATAGTCACCAAGCCTTGGTAACAATTATCATGATTCTTGGTTGATAATTACGAAATAATTTGGTCATATTCATCTCTATATTTAGTTAAAACTATTTCACTAAATGATTTAGTAACTATAACACGGGCTGCGTAATTATTACCAGTTATTTTTCTCAGTGTAGGGAGAGAAAAAATACTAAACAAGCTTTTTTTTAATTTATTGAAATTAAATTTATTTATGAAATTTGAAAAAATATATAATTTTTATAATCCGTATAATTTTTTCAGGTCATTATTCTATTTCAAAAATTCATAATTTAACTTAAAAAAGATAAGAAACAGAATAATATAAATATATTTATTAAGAAAACATCATATTTATTAAGAAAACATCATATTTCTTATCATATATTTAATTATTCTTATTTCAAAAACTTAAAATAAGAATAATTATTTATAATAACAGAAATTGTTATTAAAAATAATTAAAAAGTTCTTATATTGTTTATTACTATAAAAATTAATTTAAAATTAATTTAAAAAATTATTAAGTCATATAACAAAAGTTATCGAAATCATGTCTATTTCTTCATAAATTTGCTATTTATTATTCTAACATTTATAATTTATCTATATATTAACATGTACATGCAACCTATATACAGGGTGGACCATTTTAATCCATCCAGTCAAATATGTCGAAAACCAAGTACGGGCGAGAAAAATTTTTCAGACAAAAGTTGTTTGGTTTCGAGGGGACCATAAGATGATACCATTGCTTTGACCTTGAAGAATTATTTGAAAGTCACATGAAAGTCACCTCAATTTTTTTAAACGGCATCTCCTATTTTTTATTACATATTCTTGTAGCTGACCTTGAGAGCTTTCCAAAACATTCCAATGAAATG